TGTGAGTGAGGGTGTTGAAACGACGGTAGAGGGTCAGAGGTGTTAGTACGGTGAGGTGTGCAATGTTGAGTAGAGGGTTTTGGAGTGAGTGAGGCAGCAGGGTTACCGGTGAAAAGGCGGGTGTTAGCACGTGAGAGGTAGCGGTGTTAGTAGGGAGGAGGCGCGGTGTTAGCCACGGGGGGAGAGGGCGTAGGTGGTTACCCCGGTGAGGGGGAGGCGGTGTGGGGTAGCACATAGCAAAAAGTTTGGAAATTTTGAAGTTCGCCTCACAGTAGGCTTTCGCAAGTAAGAAATGAATGAGCAAGATATGAAGCGAGAATCAGCATCCCCTTAAGTTTGAGGTGGTCGTCCTCAGTTGGAGAAGAGCATTGTTCATAGATAACAATATTGTTTATACTATGGGAACATGCTCTTCCTAAAACTGCGGTATTTTAACCATTTTAATGTTCATTAGGTAGCCGGTGAGAGGGCAGTAGGTGTTAGCACGTGAAGTGGGGATCAGTAACAAGTGGCGTTCCACAGGATCAGTCTTGGGCCCGTTGTTGTTTAAATATATCAATGATCTGATGAAGGATTCTAGTGATATGAGCAAATTCGCTGTGACACGAGATAGGTGGTAATTGATTCAACGTAGATTAGGAACTTCAGGAGGATTTAGACAACTTTCTCTTGGTCAGAAAGTGGCAGTGCAGTTAATGTAGATAAATGCAAGGGTTTGAAGTTTGGGAGGTCCATCCCTAGCACTTATAAATTAAAAATGTAGAATTAACCATAAGATTGCGAAAAGGACTTGGGGGTAGGTATAGCGCAACCTTAACCAGACAGCAATGCCTAAGGTACGTAATAAGGCAAATAGTTACTGGGATTTATACAAGAAGGTAGCAACAGAAGTCCAAGGTCCCTACTGCGCTTTATACTCATTGGGAAACTCCCTAGATATGCAGCCCAATTCTGGTCTCCATATTCAGAATGGGCATAATTTGTTAGAAAACATTCAGCGAGGATACTAATAATCAGCATTTAAATCTTCCTTAGAAGAAAGATTGAAGACTCTTAAGTTACATTCATTTTTAGACGAAGAAGAGGGGACCGATCGAAGTGTATAGTGGAAGATAGATAATAAGGGGATATAACAAGGTCTTGAGGATATCTCTCCCAAAAGAGAACCCGCAGTAATGGATTTAATAGATAAGTTTAGATTTAGAAGGACATAGGCAAGTATTGGTTTGGAATAGGTATTGATGAGTGGAACGTTACTAGTTGGGTTATTGAGGCTGGACTTGGTAGTTTCAATTTAGGGTTTGGTAAGTACATGAGTGGGAGGGTTGGATTGAGTGGGATTGCATAAGAGCTTATTTCTGGGTAGCTTTTAAATTGGGTGGTCAATGTTTGTTAGTGGGATGAATGTAAAGGACCTGCCTATATGGGCCACAGGCCTGTGCAGTGTTCCTCTTCTTATGTCTTATGGGCTATGAGGCAGCAGGTGTTAGCATGGTGAGAGAGCCCGCAGGTGGGGTTGCACTGTGAGAGGGTCAGCAGGTGAGTACGGTGAGAGAGGCAGTAGTGTTAGCACGGTGAGAGAGGCAGCAGTGTTAGCACGGTGAGAGAGGCAGTAGGTTAGCACGTTGAGAGAGCAGAAGTGTTGCACGTGAGAGGGCCAGCAGGTGTTAGCACGGTAAGAGGGCACAGATGTTGATGGTGGAAAAGGCAAGCAGGTGTTAGCACGGTGAGAGAGGCAGCAGGTGTTAGCACGGTGAGAGGGTCAGCAGGTGTTAGCACGGTGAGAGGATCAGCAGGTGTTAGTACGGTGAGAGAGGCAGCAGGTGTTAGCATTTTGGGGAGAGAAGTAGGGTTAGCACGTGAGAGGGGTAGGTGTTAGCACGGTGAGAGGGCCAGCAGGTGTTAGCACGGTGAGAGGGTCAGCAGGTGTTAGCATGGTGAGAGAGGCAGCAGGTGTTAGCACGGTGAGAGGGTCAGCAGGTGTTAGCACGGTGAGAGGGTCAGCAGGTGCTAGCAGGGTGAGAGACTCAGCAGGTGTTAGCATGGTGAGAGAGGCAGCAGGTGTTATCCGGTGAGAGAGGCAGTAGGTGTTAGCATGGTGAGAGAGGCAGCATGTGTTAGCATGGTGAGAGAGACAGCAGGTTTTAGTAGGGTGAGATGGTCAGCAGGCGTTAGCATGGTGAGAGAGACAGTAGGTGTTAGCAGGGTGGGAGGGTCAGCAGGTGTTAGCAGGGTGAGAGGGTCAGCAGGTGTTGGCACGGTGAGAGGGTCAGCAGGTGTTAGTACGGTGAGAGAGGCAGCAGGTGTTAGCACGGTGAGAGAGGCAGTAGGTGTTAGCACGGTGAGAGAGGCGGTAGGTGTTAGCACGGTGAGAGAGGCAGTAGGTGTTAGCACGGTGAGAGAGGCAGCAGGTGTTAGCATGGTGAGAGAGGCAGTAGGTGTTAGCACGGTGAGAGAGGCAGTAGGTGTTAGCACGGTGAGAGGGCCAGCAGGTGTTAGCACGGTAAGAGGGTCAGCAGTGTTTAGCATGGTGAGAGAGGCAGCAAAGGGGTTAGCACGGTGAGAGAGGCAGCAGGTGTTTTGCACGGTGAGAGGGTCAAAAGGTGTTGCAAAGGGGAGAGGATCAGCAGGTGTTTAGTACGGTGAGAGAGGCAGCAGGGGTTAGCATGGGAGAGAGGCAGCAGGTGTTAAACACGGTGAGAGAGGCAGCAGGTGTTAGCACGGTAAGGGAGAGGTTAAGGGGCAGAATAAGGTGTTAGCACGGTGAGAGAGGCTGTAGGTGTTAGCACGGTGAGAGGGCCAGCAGGTGTTAGCACGGTGAGAGGGTCAGCAGGTGTTAGCATGGTGAGAGAGGCAGTAGGTGTTAGCACGGTGAGAGGGTCAGCAGGTGTTAGCAGGGGAGAGGGTCAGCAGGGGCTTTGCAGGTTTAGAGATCAGCAGGTGTTAGCATGGTGAGAAGGCAGAAGGTGTTACCCGGTGAGAGAGGAGTAGGTGTTAGCATGGTGAGAGGGCAGGGATGGTTTAGCGGTGAGAGGGCAGCAGGTGTTTCGTGTGAGAGAGGCAGCATGTGTAGCAGGTAAGAGGCAGCATGTGTTAGCAAAGGTGAGAGGACAGCGGTTTTAGTAGGGGGAGATGGTCAGCAGGCGTTGATGGTGAGAGAGACGAGGTGTTAGCAGGGGGAGGGGGGTCAGCAGGTGTTAGCGGTGAGAGGTCAGCGGTGTTGGCACGGTGAGAGGGTCATCAGGGGTTTACATGGTGAGAGAGGGAGCCGGTGTTAGCACGGTGAGAGAGGCAGCAGGTGTTAGTACGATGAGAGAGGCAGCAGGTGTTAGCATGGTGAGAGGGGAGCAGGTGTATCCGGGAGAAGGCAAAATAGGTGTTAGATTTGGTTGAGGAGGCAGAGTGTTAGCTGGTGGGGAGAGGGGAAACAGGTTTTAGTAGGTGAGATGGTCAGCAGGCGTTAGCATGGTGAGAGAGACAGCAGGTGTTAGCAGGGTGGGAGGGTCAGCAGGTGTTAGCAGGGTGAGAGGGTCAGCAGGTGTTAACATGGTAAGAGAGGCAGCCGGTGTTAGCACGGTGAGAGAGGCAGCAGGTGTTAGTACGATGAGAGAGGCAGCAGGTGTTAGCATGGTGAGAGAGGCAGCATGTGTTAGCATGGTGAGAGAGGCAGCAGGTGTTAGCAGGGTGAGAGGGTCAGCAGGTGTTAGCATGGTGAGAGAGGCAGCAGGTGTTAGCAGGGTGGGAGGGTCAGCAGGTGTTAGCAGGGTGAGAGGGTCAGCAGGTGTTGGCACGGTGAGAGGGTCAGCAGGTGTTAACAGGGTGAGAGGGGCAGCAGGTGTTAGCATGGTGAGAGGGGCAACAGGTGTTAGCAGGGTGATAGGGTCAGCAGGTGTTAGCATGGTGAGAGGGCAGCAGTGTTAGCAGAGTGAGAGGGTCAGCAGGTGTTAGCAGTGTGAGACGGGCAGTAGGTGTTAGCAGAGTAAGAGGGACAGCAGGTGTTAGCAGGGTGAGAGGGTCAGCAGGTGTTAGCATGGTGAGAAAAGGAGCAGGGGTTAGCATGGTGAGAGGGCAGCAGGTGTTAGCAGGGTGAGAGGGTCAGCAGGTGTTAGCAGGGTGAGAGGGGCAGCAGGGGTTAGCAGGGTGAGACGGGCAGCAGGTGTTAGCAGGGTAAGAGGGGCAGCAGGTGTTAGCAGGGTGAGAGAGGTAGCAGGTGTTAGCAGGGTGAGAGGGCAGCAGTGTTAGCAGAGTAAGAGGGGCAGCAGGTGTTAGCAAAGGGGAAGAGGGGCAGCAGGTGTTAGCAGGGTGGAAGGGTCAGCTGGTGTTAACAGGGTGAGAGGGGCAGCAGGTGTTAGCATGGTGAGACGGGCAGCAGGTGTTAGCAGGGTGAGAGGGTCAGCAGGTGTTAGCAGGGTGAGAGGGGCAGCAGGGTGTTAGCAGGGTGAGACGGGAAAACAGGTGTTAGCAGAGTAAGAGGGACAGCAGTGTTAGCAGGGGGGAGGGTCACAGGTGTTTAGCATGGTGAGAGGGGCAGCAGGTGTTAGCATGGTGAGAGGGGCAGCAGGTGTTAGCAGGGTGAGAGGGTCAGCAGGTGTTAGCAGGGTGAGAGGGGCAGCAGGGGTTAGCAGGGTGAGACGGGCAGCAGGTGTTAGCAGGGTAAGAGGGGCAGCAGGTGTTAGCATGGTGAGAGGGGCAGCAGGTGTTAGCAGGGTGAGAGGGTCAGCAGGTGTTAGCAGGGTGAGAGGTGCAGCAGGTGTTAGCAGGGTGAGACGGGCAGCAGGTGTTAGCAGGGTAAGAGGGACAGCAGGTGTTAGCAGGGTGAGAGGGGCAGCAGTTGTTAGCAGGGTGAGAGGGGCATCAGGTGTTAGCAGGATAAGCGGGGCAGTAGGTGTTAGCAGACTTGCAGATACACGACTCGTCTTGTCTAGGTTTCGTCCCGGGAACTTTTGTTTAAGCTGGAACACACTGTCACTATGCCACGAAAGACAGCACGAATTTCCTACCTTTACTTGACGAAGCTCGTCCCTGGATACTAAGAGCTCTGTCTAATGCCATCTTCTTCAGTGTGAGAGATAATGTGTCTCCATCTGCCTCCCTCTCATCCTGCGAGATTGTCTCCTCATCGTCGACACTTCTCACCACTACTGGTCTAGACTCACCATTACCCTCGTCGTCCGTGGTCATTCTGGCCATTTTCTTCGAGCTCGACGACAACACGGGTTGAATGTGAGGGTAAGGAGGTGTCTGCAACCAGCTGGCGTCAGCATCTTGTGGTTCGTTCATCTCAGCGTTATCATCGTTACCTGTTAAACTAGACGCTGATCTCACCATTATAATAATCAGAGACAACAGCTTCACTCTCTTTAATAAAAAAAGTTCCATTTTACCAGTTACATGTATTTTCAAACAAATATAAATTAATCTTTACAGTCTGATGCATATAAAACAATTTTCTCGCTAAACTTTAGTTAACTTAGTCACAAAAGAAATAAACTACAGCTTTTGTCTGGTGTAGAGCGGTGTGTTGTGTAAAGCGGACAGCACTTCTGGCACTGCTAGCGACACCTGCGACACCTAGACCTCTGATACCCACTTAGCATCGCACCCGCCACTTATATACTCCACCCACACTCTGGAAGGTAAATAAACCAGGAATCGACCTCAGCCAGGGATATTTCCCCAGTAATTACTGTATCCTTAACCTTTATTATTTATTACCGGTCTAATAGTACAAAAAGCGATCTTCTGAGGCTTATAGATGGTGGCCCGTGTAACGATGTGTTAAAGGAGACCAGAAGGATGGATAACAAAAACAGTGCCTGATCATGACTTTCTCCAGGACGCGTGGGCCGCCTTCCTAACATCCGCCAGGAATGTTCGTAACCGGAAAATGCGACGGAAGGGCTCAATTATCCAGGCATTGTACTTGTCTCTAATTATCCAGTTACATTGTATCCTCTCCTAATTAATCCTTCAGGTTATCTACCTGTCCTTAACAAGTGAGTATATAACAACTGAAATATTAAATGTAAACTTTTCTACCGAGGGATATATTGCACCTGAGCAACGGCAGATAATCAAGATATATCAAGTTCACCAGGACCACTGAGGGCATATCATGCACCAGGACCACTGAGGACACAACATGTACAAGAACCACTGACGTCACATCATGCACTAGGACCACTGACGCCACAGCATGTGCTAGGACCCCTGAGACCGCAATATGCACCAGGACCACTGAGTGCACAACATGTACTAGGACCACTGAGGCAACAACATTACTAGGACCACTGACGCCACATCATGCACTAGGACCACTGAGGCCATAACGTGCACTAGGACCAATGAAGCCACATGTACCAGGACCATTGAGGCCACAACATGTATTAGGACCACTGACGCCACATCATGCACTACAGGCACTGAGGCCATAACATGTGCTAGAACCACTGAGGCCACACATGCACCACGATCACTGAGGCCACAACATGTACTAGAACCACTGAGGCCAAATCATACACTAGAACCACTGAGGCCAAATCATACACTAGGACCACTGGCGCCATAACATGCACTAGGACCACTGAGTCCACAACATGTACTAGGACCACTGAAGCCACATCATGCATTAGCGGCAATGAGGTCATAACGTGCACTAGTACCCATGAGGACACAATGTGTACTAGGACAATTGAGGCCAAAACATATACTAGGACCACTGAGGCCACAACATGTACTAGGACCATTGAGGCCACAACATGTACTAGGGCCACTGACGGAACAACATGCACTAGGACCACTGAGGCCACAACATGTACTAGGACCATTGAGGCCACAACATGTACTAGGGCCACTGAGGTCACAGCATGCACTAGGACCACTGAGGCCACAACATGCAATAGGACCACAGAGGCCACAACATGTACTAGGGCCACTGAGGCACCAGCATGACAGGTACCATGAGGCCACTAATAAGAATAGGACCAAGAGGCACAATATGTAATAGGGTCATGAGCCCAACACTGTACCAAGGTTAGTGAGACTGTAGGTTAATAGGTTCTAGTGAGGCCAAACATGCACTAGGCAATGGAGCCACAGTTGTAATAGGGCCACGAGCGCCACCACGTTGTACCAGTTATACTGAAGCTAAAGTATAGGCTTAGTGAGGCCACACATATGTACTAGCCACTGAACACACAGTATGTAATAGGGCACTGAGGGCACCACGTGTACCAAGGTTAGTGAGACTATAAGTACTAGGGCTAGTGAGGCTACAACATGTACTAGAGTTAGTGAAGCCGCAACATGTACGAATGTTAATTAATGAGCCTACCAGTGCTAGGGTTAATGAGGCCCCTATGACCTAGTTTGTGGGAAAAAAGTAAACATTTTGAAAGATTTAAAGAGAAAGGTGGAGAGTTTACCTTGTGAGATACGTATGAGCTTATCAGAGACTAGCCAGCCTGCTTGATCATTGTTTAATACATGAAGCTAAAGCTTAAACCTTAATGTACACACACACACACACACACACACACACACACACACCCAGTAATGTTAGGAAGTATTTCTTCAGCCACAATAGTAGTCAGGAAGTGGAATAGTTTGGGAAGCGATGTAGTGGAGGCAGGATCCATACATAGCTTTAAGCAGAGGTATGTTAAAGCTCATGGTTCATGGAGAGTGACCTAGTAGCGACCAGTGAAGAGGCGAGGCCAGGAGCTAGGAATCGACCCCTGCAGCCTCAACTAGGTGAGTACAACTAGGTGAGCACACACACACACACACACGTTTACACCCACACGTTCCCACATATACAGAGTGACACATACACTCCCCTCCTGCCCACTCCCCTGCCAATCTCCCCCACCTCTCCCTCTTTCCCCCTCTACCTCTCCCATTCTTTCCCTTTCTTCTCCCTCCTCCTCACTCCCCATGTTCCTCTCTCAATCCCCTTCCCCACCCCTCTCCCATTTAGCCACTGTCTACAGCTTCCTCCTCTACCTCCCCCGCCCCACCCCCCACGCTCGGACAAACATACCACAAAACAAACACACAGAATTACATAAGTTTTTCATTCTGAGGCAACCAAAACAAAAAATGGGCTGCCAGAGATCAGGAAGGAAAACCAAGGGACTGGAGTATGAATCTGCAAAGGAAGATTGGGCAGCAGAGCTCATGAAAAGGGAAAATGAATGGGGAAAGAAACTAGAAGAACTTAGAATGAGAAAGGAAGAGAGGAAAGATGTGGAAACAAAGAAGTGGGAGATGCAAGTCATAACAGCAGAGGCTAGGATACATAGATTAGAAGAGGAACTGAAAAATCTGAAACAGCCTAAAGAACTAAAGAACAATTTGGGAATGACATCAGAGACCACTACCTCAGTCACAAACAAGGGGACTGTAGGGAACGAAGGAACGAAACTGCATGTAGAAGCCCTATCAGAGGGGACTGTAGAAAATGAAAGAGCTAAGCTATATGTGGAGGTCCTAACAGATCACAGCAGAGCCCAGGGAAAGCTGAGAAGGGAAAATGACAGGCCACTGAGCCCAAGTACAATAGATAGTGAAACTGAAGGAAGGAAAGTGGCAATGAGGGAAATTAAATCGAATCAGTGGATTCATAGGGAGAATGTAAGGGAGAGATCAGTCTTTGTTTATGGGCTCCGGGAAGTTGAAGAGGAAACTTACGAAGCAAGAAAACCAGAGGGAAAATGCAATCAAAAGCATCATAAAAGTAATAGGAGAAGATGACATGAGCCAGTTGGCAAATTTTCGGAGAACAGAGCGGTTTGCAAGAAGAACCTGGCCAGTGAAAGTGACTTTCAAGGCAGAATCGACTCGAAACAAGATCCTGCAGGAGACAGCAAGACTAAGGGACATGCTGGCATACTGGAAGGTGTATCTCAACAGTGAAAAAAACACAAGAAGAATGGCAGATACTGAGAGAGATGGTACAAAGGCTAAAGGAGGAAAGAGAGGAGAAGATGGAGATGGACAGGAGAACCCAGACTCAGGAGGAAGATCAAATACAGTCTCCCTCACAACTACCTACAGAAGCCCCCCAGCCAGGACAACCCTAGTGCAACGAAACATTTTAACCCAAAACACACATGCCATATCCAATGCCCCCACCCACCTCATTACAAACTCCACCTCACAGCAACCCCCTATAGTTCCTTATCAGGTCTCCCTCTTCCCCAACCCCAACATACCCCCCAGACCACAGTTTTAGAAAAGAAGTGTGAGGAGTGACGAGAAAGAATCAAGGAGACATCACAGAAACAAAACTCACCAGGATAACAGATGCAATCTTTCCATCCAGATATCAAATCCTCAGAAAAGACAGAGGGAGGAGATTTAGAGAAGGAGTTGCACCGCTCATTAAAAACCAGTGGGGATTTGAGAAAATGGAAGGAATGGATGGCATGGGCGAAAGGGCCTACTTAGTAGGAACAATCCAGTCTGAGGGCTATGAGGTGGTAATTGCATTAATGTACAACCCGCCACAGAACTGCAGGAGGCCAAGAGAAGAATACGACGAGAGCAACTGAGCAATGGATGACACACTAGCCAAGATGGCCAGAAGAGCTCACATGGGGGAGCAAAGTTGCTAGTTATGGGTGATTTCAATCACAAGGAGATTGACTGGAAAAACCTGGAGCCCCATGGGGGTCCCGAAATATGGATAGCCAAGATGATGGATGTGATACTGGAAAACCTCATGCATCAACATGTTAGAGACACTACCAGAGAGAGAGGTGAGGATGATCCAGCAAGACTGGACTTTGTATTCACCTTGAGTAGTTTGGACATCGAGGATATCATGTATGAAAGGCCCCTAGGAGCTAGTGATCATGTGGTTCTGTTTTTGACTACATAGTTGAGCTACAAATGGAGAGAGTAGCAGGAATAGGATGGGAAAAACCAAACTACAAATGGGGAACTACTCAGGCATGAGGAACTTCCTGCAAGACATTCAGTGGGAGAGAGAACTGACAGGAAAACCAGCACAAGAAATGATGGACTATGTGACAACAAAAATGCAAGGAGGCAGAGGAGAGGTTTGTTCCTAAGGGAAACAGAAATAATGGGGAGACCAGAACGAGTCCTTGGTTCACCCAGAGGTGTAGGGAGGCAAAAACGTGGTGTACTAGAGAATGGAAAAGGTACAGAAGACAAAAGACTCAGGAAAATAAAGAGATTAGCAGGAGAACCAGAAACGAATTTGCACAGATAAGAAGGGAGGCTCAACACAATATGAAAATGACATAGTATCGAAAGCAAGTGTGACCCAAAGCTGTTGTATAGCCACATCAGGAGGAAAACAACAGTCAAGGACCAGGTAATTAGACTGAGGAAGGATAATGGGAAGTTCACAAGAAACGACCGAGAGGTATGTGAGGAGCTCAACATGAGATTTAAAGAAGTATTTACAGTGGAAACCAGTAGAATTCCAGGAAATCAGAACAGGGACGTACACCAACAGGTGCTGGATGAGGTACACATAACTGAGGAGGAGGTGAAGAAGCTGCTATGTGAACTTGACATCTCAAAGGCGGT